GACCTTACACTTTGTGGGTGCAAAGTGCATACCAAAGGACGGGATGACTTTGGTCAGTTCATACAAGAATAATTGCGCCTTTTCCTCCTCTTCGAACATGAGAAAGATGTCGTCTGCATATTCCAGATCGACAAGGTTTTCTTCACAGGCTATTTGAACACTAGGGGTTTGGAGACCCTGCAGCGTTCGTCTCATTATTTCATCGATCGCCTTGGGAGAAACTTTGCCACCAACAGGACGTACAAGCGACCAATCACAGGTGATATCATAGGATGGTCTCTACATCAGGGAACAGATAGAACCCAAATTACCTAGGAGCAGCAATTTTGTCTTCATGCTACTGATAATCCACTTACTTGGGGTCAGAATACATGAAGACATAAATTTCTCATCTTGGCCTTTATGAGGGGCTAGCAGGAACCCCTCGTAACCTCGAATGATACTATAACCACTCCTGGATTTTGTCTGTTTTTCGGTCCACTTGCAGCTCCATCCTTCGGTTCATCAAAGGCAACATAGATGGAATGAAAATCCCGTGGTGCTACGTTGGTATGGTATTCTCAAGTTTTTGTTGGCATATTGAAGATCACTGGAGTTATTCAATCAACTTCAATCACTGGTAAGCCACTATATTCTCCCTGGTTTTCTCGACGTCGTTTCCATGCACATTTGATGGAGGGCGGGTTTGTATTACTGCTGCATCTGATAACCAGCGAGTGATCGTTAACGCATAAGCGATAGTATCACCAGAAAGTGCTAGTTTCGGCCAAGAACAATCGGCCTTCTTCCTACGTATGTTGTATACTTATACCTCTACTTGCATATGCTTTACGACAATACTATGTCATGATAATTGCTGCCTCCCCCCAGCTAAAACGTCTCTCAACCTGGTAGACGTCCTAGACCGATCGTTCCCTTGTCAACGTGTACCCTACAATCATCTGCTCTTGTTTTCACTGAAACCCGTCGCTAGCTTACCCCCTCGTGGGTTGTGATGCAGTATGGGCCACCACAAAGCTCATTCGAACGCGATTAAGGCCTGAGATTATTGCGCGACAGGTTCGTACCCAACCCCGGCATGTTGACCGCTCCCGTCCAGGCTTGGGCATCATGGCAGTATCTCTGACCGCGTGATTGCTTTGGATGGCACACCGGCTAGGCACTGAAGGGTGTTACAGCTAAACGATTCTATTTTTATTATTAACTTGGACTGTTATGTGTGGGGAAGTAAGAACTTTCGGCATAGTTGGCTGCTACTTATTTTCTGTCGGCTTTGCGGAGGGTTTGGTTTCCAAAGACCCAAACCGATTGGATGCATCTTGTTAAGAGGACTCCTTTTCTCTATCCTGCTCTTCAACTGACCAGAAGGTCCGTGGTTCGAACGCGCCCTCTGCCTCTCGACTTTCCCTGTCTAGGCTTGGGCAACCTGGCAGTATTCCAGCCTTCGTGCGTGGCAGCTAGGCACCGAAAGGGGTTACAGCTGAACGACTTCCAATCTGGGTCGAACGGATATCATGTTCTACGAGTCAACCTGATTTCTTCGCATTTGTATGTGAATGAGTTCGGGTTGCTATCACGGTGGTGTACTACTGCATTTTGACAGTAATTTGTGGTGATGTTTGACAGGTTGAACACCAGTTACACGTTAGGCCGATACGCTTTGTCAGGCGAGTTTTCTCGGGTACCCACGTCCTGATCGATAATCAGCTGAATCGACACATGTTAAGTGCGCTTGTTTGTGCATATGTCTGTCTGCAAGCCAGAACTAACAGACGAAGTTACCTCCGAGGTTTGTTTTAATTTGGACTCTGTGAACTCAGATGAACCTGCTCGCTACTAACCACCTGAACTGCTCATTTTTGTGTGTTTTGAGGACTTATTTGAAATGAAATAAAGCCGCATGGTACGCAGGCACTTTTGGGGTCAGGAAGATTGGGGGCAATCTACCATGGGAAAAGCTCTGTATTCTGCATAGGAGGGTATTCGAAAGAAAATAAGGGCGAAAATTCTGTGAATCACAAGATCTCAGGTTCAGCACATCGTCATTATCAACTGTAAAAATGTATGCTTGTTGTACAGTGGTTAATTCTGTCACAGTTTCGCTTGTCTATCACCTGGGGAGCTAGGGCCTAATAGCTGCCCACTGGAACTGGCAGCCGACATAACTGGTGCGTCAATATAGAGGTATCGGTGGGTTTTTCACTGGAGAGATAGGGGTGGGAAGCCATGCATCGAAGAAAAAACATTGGATGCAGGAGCGCCATTGACCCTGTCCCTGGGTCATGTCAGTTACTGTCTCTAACCATCTATTTGTCCTGTCTCACGGTCCCTACTCGGGGAGGCAGCAATGACCAACGCAGCTGAGTTTGCTGGTAATGGCTCGAGATAGCTCAGTGGTCACAGCCTGAACTTATTGAACGGAAGGTTCGCGGATTGAGCCCAACCTTAGCGTCTCGACTGCTCACGTGTAAGCCTGGATAACCTGGCATTATCTCAGCCCTCTTGCTTCCCTCGGGTAGCATGTCAGCTAGGCACCGAAAGAGGGTTACAGCTGAGCGAGCGAGTATTGCATCAAAAAAGAACTTCATGTTTCGCTGTCAAGTTAGTACTTGACATACCTTCCTTTCAGAAAAGTCCAGCAAGGCCGGATATGCAGAGTGTTGTTATCTGTGAGTGTGTAAATACCGAAAGCCAATTGCCGAGACCCACAACTAGTCCCTCTGTGTCCGTGCTCGCGCCTGCAATTCATAGCACTCCTTCTGTTGGATGATGTGGAGAGATTAGGCAGAGTGATAGGATACGCTCACCTCGCATCCATCAACTAGTCATGTAAGATTCCGGTCCACTGTAAAATCTGAGACCAACAGTCAGGTGGTGAAACTAATGAAGATTTCGTCTGCACAGTGTGTTATCCATGGGTTCGTTCACTCAGTTGGGTTTCACCTATACGGACAAGACGAACTTCGTATTTTCCGTGACCCAAAGCGTAAGTCTTATGTGGAAGGGCGAGAGAAAGTTCTCAGGAGGGCACCTCCAATGACTATTAAAGCTAATAAAACTAGAGCGTAGTTCGGATGTTAGCTGTTCAAGACTGTGGCTCAGTATAGCTTTTTGTATTCGGCCATGTGTGTCTATCTGCTGCCACTTCCGCCCGTCATGGGTGGCACCCCAACTCTGTCCACCTGATGCAAATACGAGTGCACGTGTAAAGCGGACTATTCATTACAAAACCATTTTCTGCACACTGCTTGTGTGAACCAGACTACTTCCAAGTAGTCAGCCGTCACCAAACTACCTCATACTTAGCTGGACACAGGGTGCGGGGCGAGTAGGTGTCCGAAACCCTGGACCCGGCTGAGCCCCTCGTTTATGAAGCTCTTCCTCACCTGAATGCGCTGCACCAGTATGTGCCCCAGTTTTATGTTATTTATTCTAAGGCATTCCACCGGTTTCCTCCTTTTTGTGATTTTAGCTGAATTCACTTTGACAGCCCTATTTTCAAAGGTGACTTCGATTAGAAGTGTTCAGTACCAAGTGCCAAACTAGACTCCGTGCTGTTCTGATTGCAATCTACCATATTTATTTCTTAGTCCTCAAAATATTAAGGCAGCGACGGTGCGAATTTGATGTTGATTTTTTGGATTTGCCCGTAAAAGTGACCGAAAAGCAGCTAATTTTCTCAGCGGCTTCTAACAATCAAAGAAGCAGGATGCTATCATTTCACGTGCACACCTGATGGGTATAAATCACCAACCACGTGGTCCACATAGCTGTCACACTTTAACCTCAGGTCGCAGTGGCACTTTGTTTTTTTGTTTTGTTCAATAAACCGGATGTAGTATCCGTGTAAAAGGAAGCGGTTGAAGTTCTTCAGAAGACGGGTATGCGTATGCTGATGAACAATTTGGGGAGACCGGTTCAATTCATCCTGTACGACACATGTGATTGCATGCGACTGGATTTGATCGATCTTTTTCCAAGTTACCTTAGTGTTCTAATTGTTTTGAACTCTCCCACAGTTATCGTCTATTACATACCGAGACTTGTTTTGTGCATCTGTCTGCTGGTCATAAGAGATGAACTCACAGGATGAGACTTAGCTTCACTTTCACTCACTTACTGCCAGAATAATAAAACAAAGGACTAGATGTATTGAGTCGACTGATCCTTTTATCGTTTTATAAATCTATGCACAATAGCAGCAGAGCATGTTGATTAGCTAACTCATCCTCTTTTGGGAAAAAGTCGCCATAATGTAGAGTTTTCAGCGACCTTATGAGTAATGTGTTACATCTGGACAACAACAAGGTAACAAGTCGTTGGGAAAAATCGCCATAAAGGAAAAGTTTCAGCGACCTTATGAGTAATGTGTTACATCTGGACAACAACAAGGTAACAAGTCGTTTTTGTCTATTGTAACAGTGCTGTCGATGTTGAAATTTGTTCTGATTCGACACCAAATGATCTTTCTGGACAACATTTCCACTAACAGCTACCACTAACTCAAAGTCGTGGCATGATTGCCCAAGTATGACCATGTCAATAAGTCGTTTACAACGGTTAGATGGAATCCACAGGGGAAGGACGAAGCATGTTCGACACGCCATAGAGTCAAATGAATGATATCATGAAACAGAATTGTCCTCATTCTGAGGCGGACTGGTGACCACTTAGCTCAATTTTGATCGCGCCTGTGTCTATAATAACCATACTGATCGTACTGCGTTCAGATGTACCGGGTATCGTTTAGATGTACCCTTTATCCATGGTATCATCATCATTGACACAAACACCATATTAAAACACTGGCGTACAACCACGTCAATTTATTTTAATATAGTTCTATAGTGGAAAGAAGAAAGAAATGAAGCAGGGAGGGGGACAATGAGATGCTTAATTTCGGCCAGATCTGATTTCGTTGCGCTTGAGCTAGGCTTCCGTCGACCACCGTTCAGAGGTCGTTTCGCAACCACGCCCTTTTGCTCATGAAACTGAACTGAATACAATGCAGTCGTTTCCCAATATCTGTGATAGGAATATCGAATGTCTACCATCAAGCGGTATGTTAGTAACTGATATGCTTGTGCACAATGAATACACCTTAGCTAGTATATTGGCGCGGACACTGATCGTCTGAAAGATTTGATGCAATGGGCGGTTGTGTTCATCTTGTTTCTCCTTAACTGCGCCACTGAGGTGGGCTGAGTCCCGTTTCCTTGATACTCTTTTCAGGTTTGTCACCACCAGCCCATCTTATTTTAGACGTCTTATCTTGGATAACCCAAAATTACATGCGGTTTCGTGTATTTCGTTCATATCCCAGGGGTGAACCAAAAACCTGGTATGGTGTTTCTCGCCTGCATGCGGAGGATTTCGAACGAGCCATGCGAAAACATGCACCCGATTTGTTCGAACAAGCCCCGGATTTGCTACATCATATCACCACAAACATGAATCCCAACATCCTGCAGGCTGAAGGCGTCCCCGTCTACCGGACTGACCAGTATTGTGGAGAATTTGTTGTCACATTTCCCCGAGCCTACCATGCAGGTTTCAACCAGGGATTCAATTTTGCAGAAGCAGTGAATATCTGTCTACCCGACTGGGTAAGCATTCGCTTTCACATGTCCTATTCGTTGTGCACAAGTGCGAAATGTGAAGAAAGCATGTGCGACTTACTAGTTGTTTTCAAACCATCATCGGGTGGCCACTACATACCAAGATGCACATTGGAAATCGCTGGAGCACTTGGCATCAGAATGAGCGTGCGTGGCCCAACACACTAGCTGAATCTACCCTGTAGTTAGGACTGAACGCCACCTGGGATCCGACAACTAAGTGTGCACTTTTATTCCCAGACTCATAAGTGCGACCAAGTAGGGTTTTGTGTGTTTTCTCTGGTTCTCCGTTTCAAATTGATGCAGTTTTCCAACCTCAGAGGCTTACTTCCCAATCAATTGATATGGGATTTCAACTTTGTCATTGGAGGGCCTACGTTTATTGTGCTCATCTTTGATTTGACTATTTCACCCCACTACCAGGGGCTGACTTGGCAAGACAACATAGGGTGAACTAGATTTTTAACTTCTAACATGTTAGAAGTACTTGCTATGTTTTGGATGCGCAATATGCTCAGAACACTTCGTCATCCAATTCCGTGAGAACATCAAAAAGTCTGGGGATACAGATGCGCCTGTTTATCGGCTCAGCTTTTTGCCGCATCGGAAACTTCAAAAGCTTGCTGTTTCACCCAGTTCTTTGTAACCAGGAATTATTTAGTCTTTAAAGTGAGCGTGGTGCAGGTATTATTAGCCAGCAGCCGCCATACGCTGTGCCACTCGGATTCTTTGCACATGTGTACGACGATAATCCTCATGGCGTTCCAGTTGTGTATGACTGCTTCGTTTGCATCACATATGGTTTGATAACTGAAACGCTGTTGTAAAGCGACGGTCCTTAGGGCATTGGTGGTGCTTATTAGTTCCTGTTCCACTTGGTTTGGAATGCTCACAACACCATGAATGCTAAGAACTGGTCGTCTTCAAGTTATTCTTGCTCCAGCAGTTCTCCGTTATTACTCTAGATAGTCCAGGCCAGAGTCTGTGAACTTCCTATCCGAACTCGCCTTCTAGGGCCAATCGGCACCACAAATTCATACCCTGCTCATTTGTCAGACGAGTGTATTACCGGTGCCCGAAAACTGTGCACCTGAGTTAGCACTTTAACTATGAGTTTTAAGAAGGGTGAAACCCGAGTCCAGTGCTTTTTTGATGCTCTGAAGCGAAACTGATGTGAACACGAATCCAGGAAATCCCGCAATTACTCAATAAAACTTTCCAACTTGCCTTACATGTGGAGAGACTTTGGAATGCTGTGTTCATTACACATCCTGGTAAAATAGCTCATCCCTTCTTTCAGGAATGTCTCTTTTCGTGGTCAGGTAACACGAATGGGCTGTTCATGGGACGTACAAACCCCTGATCAATGTGCACTCTACTTCGAGAGCTACTCTCTTTGGCTTGCGGTTAAAGATGTTTATCGAACATGCCGGAAAATAGTAACAACGAGTTACATTTGGGTAATGCTATATCTCATTCGCTGTTATCTTGCTTCAGATATCCACCCTGCCAGCCCGCCTAAACCTCGAACTTTTTGTTGCCTTTTTTTAACCTCCAATCGGTCGGGCTTGTGTTGATCATTATGCTGTCATGAAACGACATTGTGTGTTCTCAAACGAGGAACTTTTGTGCACACTGGCTGAGGTGGCAGTCGGTCGTTGTCGCCCGGAAGACATCTTGCTCACCACAAATTCCTACCATCCGAACGAGAGCTCTGCGAAAAAGTGTGCTACACAACCGAGACTTCCTCCAGGCTGTTCCACTGCTGGTTTGGATATCAGTGCTATCGCAACAGTTCATCAGGAATTCACACTACTCCTTAACAAAGAACGTCGTCTGCGTCAGATAGCTCTGAATGTGGGTGTTGTGCGCATGGAGAAGGTTCGTTTCGATGAACTTTGGGATGATGTAAGAGTGTGTGATGCCTGCTCAACGACACTTTTCCTATCCGGAATTAGTTGTCCATGTGCTTCGTCTGTCGCATCACCGAAGACATCCCCACCTGGAGACCAGCCCAGTGGTACAATGGGTCGAAAACGTCGTGCATCAGATGGTCCCGTTGAACAGGAACAAACGGAAGAGCATGATGCCTCCTCTGAAGGTTAGTTCCAGCTTTCTGTATTTCCCGTATTGTCCCTTCACCAATAATCGAAAACGCAACTCGTCACCACTTTTTTGTGCATCTAATCGTGGGCTTATTCAGTAAATGCACTATTATGAAGGAACTGGTCATTCTCTTTAGTTTTTGTTGCCTTGGTTCACCTCTTGCCTCTCCTACGCTCCTGCTAACGGTTTCTTGGTCCTAATGTCTTACAATTTGTCTTTGAAACTTTGTCATTGTTTGCAAATGTCTACCCAAATACGACTCACTCTCGTTTGTCTGCTTTTTAGAAAAGCAGAGAACACGCCGCTTCATGGTGTGCCTTCAACACTTTGACGAACTCTGTCCGAACTGCGAACCTTCAGCTTGCATACTAAAGTACCACTATACGATAGAAGAACTAGAGGATTTGGAAAGCGCCTTGGCACGTTGTTCGAATGCTTTCTACGACTGGCGTAGACCGCTGTTACAAGTGCTGACGAATTCCAACTGGAACAGCTCAAGTTTTCAAACTGATAAGCAAGAACCCCCGACGGATTTGATGGGACCGAAACCCGATAGCAGTCCTTCGATTTCTCAAGATGCACCGCCTGATCGGTGTATCATGACCTTGGAAGAATTACAGGTTGGTCTCTTGTTTGTAGCTAATCGTTCTTAATTACGACGTGTTTTCACAAGTAACTATTACGCAGTCCGTTGGTGTATTGCACGTGTTGGCGAGAACTCTCCCAGCTGTCTTCCACATCCGTCACCGTCATCGATCGCGAATACTTCAGAGTTCTATTGCGGCCCCACATGAGTAGCCTTCCGTTTTGCAAGACGAGTCGATTCGGCAATCATACTTATTTTTCACACTCTAGTCTTGCGGGCTTCCGTTGATGCTACTCGGGGTTCAACCTTGGCACCATTAGAGTTTGCGGTCCTTCCTCCAAACAGAATGCGATCGAGGTCAGGTGACCGCTTTTCATTTGTGACCACTTATACACAACGTTGAGATATGGTCCACCTCTAAGCAATGGTGCATTGTGTTATTTGGAGCTATACTGTATAGGTCACTGTGTGTCTGTTCACTGGCGCGGCTAGCTCACCTACATTGTAGAGCTCTTCATCCATCGTTTGAACCAGCTTTTCACGGTCCCATAACTTCATGCTACAGCAAGTGCTTTTGTCTTTTGAATGTAGCGAAATGAGAATATCTGGTGTCCGAGGGAAAGTTAAAAATTGCATTCAATGCGTGGCTGCTTTTGAACCTGAAAGAAGAACTAGAACGGAGATACTTTCAGACAACTCACTGAAAGTGCTGGATTTATGCACCAATTTACCAGCTCGCGCGTGCAATGCGCAGCTACTTACCCCCCAATCATCGGTGAACGAAACTGTGGCAGCTACAACCAGTGTACGACCCAGTACGCGGTATTACAGCTGATAATGATGATGATGAATTTCAGATTGGTTAAATCTACAATGCAGGCTTTTTTTGTCATTCGTTCGTTTCGGGCGATCACACTTATTTTCTTCTCCTTTCTTAACTGCTGTTTTATAGAAACACCTAAACGTCGGCCGCACTGCTGGATATCACGTAGATGAAGTTTTCACGCAAGCTCAGGCGCTATACGAGCGTGCCAATAAACTTTTAAGTATATGCGCGTCAGTGAAATCGACCCTGACCTCTTTGAGAGATTCGGAACTGAATGGGGAAAACAAGCGTGAGGCAGATACTCACCGGACTGACAGTCCTTCAACCCTGGGATTCCTGCTTAGACTGTCCACTGTCAGTTCTTTACCCTCCACTACGGAATCATCAAAACAACACAACCCGTCGGTATCTCTTCATCATGAAATCGATTTGAATAAGTGAGTTACCTAGTTGAACTGGGGAGGATTAGCATTCCAACCATATTTCTCATTTGTCTGTCCCTCTTTATCTATTTGAAAGTCCACTCCATAGTAGTATCACTTATGTGTCCTACTTGCCCACAAAACATCCACTTTGGTAAAATTTTCTTCACACAACCACCGTTTGAGTGAAGGTACTGGATATTCAGGATGTCCCTTCAGTACGAATCATCAGTTATGCCACCCAAGTGCTCATCTACTCTGGTCATCTCTAACCTCGCAGAGGATAGTCTCCGGAGTTCTCATTTCCAGCCATCTCCTCCGTTCTGTTTCGTGCGGCAGTACGTGCGCAACAAAATGGTGTGTAGGCGAGCACTAGGACCGTAAACAAAGCCTATCAGGCTAGGGCGCTTAAGACATGTAGTACACAGGCAAAATCTCCATCTACCAAAGAAAGTTCTGCATTCGATTCCTAATTTGTGTTAAAAGCGATCAATTTGAGTAGAACAGACCAAGATATGGCTACGCGAAATGAAACGGCTGTAGTTGAACCGTGTATTGTGCGGTTATCGCACCCTCCTGATTTGGACCCACGTGATTCTCTTTGCACGTGATTAGAAGTTCTACAGGTCATGGCGATCACTTTCTACCCGGACTATGCAGCTAAAGTTTGTCAATCGTTGTGTGCTGAGATTGTGGTACTGGGTGAGGTGTGCAAAGCATATCCGACCAATCCTAATGATGGCACCTTACTTCGATTTGCCAACGTGTAGGCGGACACTGTCTGCAGCTAAACTCTTGCTTGCAGATTATGTTGGTGTTAACAGGACACTCGGTTGGATATCAGCTGATTCATTTTTGTGGTAGACTTCATGTGTGGGCTGAAGAGTAGCGGGTTGTTGAAGGGTTTTCCTGGGTACCGTAAGTTACGTGGGTACTTTGCTCCCGAAAGGTATCGGGTTAGTAAGTTCCCCCTCTCTTTTCTTTTCAACTCTGTTAAGGTCTTCTTTCCTCACAGTTGGTTTGGCAATAAGGCATCTTCACCTACTGCTAATGTATTGTTGTTGATGATGACTGAAATATTTATCCACTTTTTCTTTTAGTATCCGAGAACTCGACTTGGTGCGTCTCATGGAGGCTTGCAAACAGCAGTACCCAATCAATCTCATGACTGAACCCGACGTATGGTTCCTCCAAGATGTACTCAACTTTTTAAATGTTTGGCGTCAAAGTGCGCGTGAAGCCATTGGTGCTGTTTGTCGGCTGACTCTACCGACCGCCACCCGAAGCCTCACAACACACTGCCCATCAAACATCACATCCCCTCTCCTAGTAGATGTATCAGCAATCGCTTCCCTGGCATCGGGCAATACACACACGTCTCCGAATGACGAAGCGGCGTTCCTGCTTTTATCGGATGTCGTTAGGTCCCTGTCAGACAAGTACCCTCAACTTGCTGACCGCCTTCCGGATTGGAACTCGTTGAATCTGGTAGGTGATCACGGTTTATTCACTCTCTTATTTCAACAAGACCTGTGAGATTTCTCGTCGATAGGTGATTGCTCACTCTGTATGAGTGTCCTCGCGACTAACTGTCAGTTGGATAGCCCTAAAGCCTGTTGTCCAGTAATCTTCATCGCTAGTACGGCCTTCAAGTATACCGTACACGGAAGAAATCCCATGGCAGCCTATTTGTTTCAACTTGTCTCATCCCTACTGGAAACTCATCAGGGGTTTTATTTCGAACAAGTAGCCAACCTCGGTTCCCACATTCCCACTACTGTTGTCCCTCCAGTGAGTGAACTCCCCCACAAAGATATCTCTCCTTACTTCGCACGAACGAATTACCTCCCTGATACTCTTGGGCGGGAGGATTGTAGAGCGCCGCTTCGGCAATGGTTTGTAAACAGCTGTTGGGCTTGTGGTCGCGCAAGGTCCCACTTTTGACACCAGGCAAAGTGAGTAAGTTGTCAGTTTAGTCAAGTTTCAAGGCGGACGAAGGATTAGTCACGTAGATCTCTCTCAACCCACATACTAAGTCAGTTTTTTTGTGTGAATGGCTTTTTTCGGAGAGGAGATGAGGACAGTTTAGGTTGGGTTTTCGAGCCCTGTGCTTCCTGTTCATGACACTTTAATTGATGAGGTAGTTCAGTTGTAGAATGTACAAACTCACTGAACGAAAGGTCGGACCCAACCGCGGCATCTTGACTGTCTTGGCTTGGAGAGGACAGTTAGGTTGGGTTTTCGAGCCCTGTGCTTCCTGTTCATGACACTTTAATTGATGAGGTAGTTCAGTTGTAGAATGTACAAACTCACTGAACGAAAGGTCGGACCCAACCGCGGCATCTTGACTGTCTTGGCTTGGACAATCGAACAGCATCCCAGCCCTCGCGTCTCCATCGTATCGGGGCCATGCACGGCTGTGCAGTTATTGTTCGTTAATAATTGATGATTCCTCTTGGTTAGCTAGTTTCAACTCTGCACCGCATATTGATTACTCCTTACTAGTAGCTGGGTGTCGACTGGGTCAATGAAATAATACCTCTCCAAACGCGCCCATTCGGTTGTATGCTCTGCGTTCTATTCACACTGGAATACTTAACGATTTGAGTTGACTCTGCCATCAGTCACTATGCTGTGAACGTTGGTCCTTGTGTCAAAATCTCCACAATTCCCGACTCTATTTTGGACTCAGTTTCATATGCTTGGCCTGCTATTTTGGTGTCTTTAACCACCGACTGTTCATCTTTGTGGTGATTTGTTTACTGTTTGCTTTTACTCTCACCATTTCTGGTTTGTAATTCCCTGACCGTTTTTCTTTTCAAAATTTATACACAGTCTTTAGGACTTGTGTTTCGTATACACGGCCTGCAGTCCCATCAATTGGGATACAGTCTCTCTCATGAGGCATAGCATTATTACTTCAGCAAGCAGCACTACTATTTTCTCATTCTATCGACAGCGAGGTGGCCGGAAGGCCCATGTCTCGAACCGAACCTCGGCTTTCTGACTTTTCCTGTTTATAATTGGGCAACCTGGCAGTCTCTCAACCCTTATGCTTCCTTCAAGTAGAAGAAAAGCTAGACTTCGAAAGAGTTTTACAGCCGAACGCTTTTTGATTCGATTTTATCGAACACCAAGGATTAAACCCAAGGACTGTGTGGAAGCCACAGAAAACATATCCGGACGTTCTCCAATAACAGCCTATTCAGTTTAGCGCTGGGATCAATGAGTAAAGTGGATTTCAAACGTGTGCCGCACATGATTCATTCACCGAAAGGGCATTTTCTCGCCCATTACTTATCCCTGATAGAGATGTATACTGGGGTTTGATGATCAGACCGTTGGTCCCTTGAAGGACTGGCTTTTGGATGCGTCTTGTTTTCACATGGGTGAGTTCGAAACCGGAGGAAACGACCGAAGCGTTTGCTGATTTGATTGACACCACTATTACTGGCACATCATAATAACTGTAAGATCCGGACGTTTATGGATCTCACAGGACGATTGCGACTATTGGATTATACGCAGTTCGCAGCCAGTAGTCAATAGGAGCAGACGGACGTGGGGCAGCAGATGATATATTGAGGACTGACAGGAACTGGTTCTACAGACATACGGATTAGTAAGTATCATGAATTAAGCAAACGTACAATCAACAGTGACACGATCAGCAGGAGCGGGGAGTAGTCACTGACGCAGCACGGATTTCTATGGGGGCAACAGCAAGTAAGTACCAAACGATGTACAGACATACATATAGGGCAGTCTGACGGTGTGAATTGACCGTAACGGCGCAGGAGTCAGTACGTTCGGGATGTGAGGGACTGTCCTTCGGTCGGCGTCGACGCAGCCGCTCGTGTCGCGCGACAGGTCAGATTGCGCGGTTTTGTCTGTTTAAAACAAAGCTCAGCAAGGGTTATCTGGCAGGCGCGATACATGGGTAATGCAAGATAATCAGCCGTTGTAGGCGTCAGGTCGGTGTGGCTGGTAGCGCGTTCGCCTTCCGTCCGGAGGATCCGGGTTCGATACCCGGTCGGCATGCTTTTCCGTCAGAGTGGGTGCTCAAAAATAGGCGCAATCGAGGCGAACTTGCAGTCAATGACAGACGGGCAACAAAATATTGACATCACTTACTGAGGGATAAGCAGACCTTAAGTAGGAACAAAACGGGGGGAAAACGAGCAGCAAGAAAACGAAACAGTGTAGTCAGAAAGCAAGGAAAGTTACCCTTGTTCACCGTTGATTCGCAGGGGGAATCAACAATAACTTAATCTTAAAGTATGGACCGATTCCGGGTGTGTGGATTATGT